AGTTTTCTTTTTTTGAAATGAAAGAAAATTGAAAAAATAATCTTCTTTTTTTATAAGTAGCTAATTAGTTAAATTTTAATTTAGTTTTATGAGAATTAATAAAAATAATTAAACAAAAGAAAGTATTTTCACCTCTGCGATAATAAATACTGGCGAATTTTTTTTCTCCATTGATTCTAAGTTCGTAGGATAAGAAAAAAATCATGTCTGACTAAAATCGTATTTTACTACTGATTTTACCAGATTTCTAAATTGTAGAAACTTGCGAAGAATTGGAAATAATTTGCCTGTTTGAAACTTACTTTCACTACTTAAAATTGAAATTATTTTATGCTTCGTCTGACAGAAATTGTCTTTAACTACTAATTATAAAATTGTTTTTTTTTACTATTTATATAAAAATTACAGTAATTACTATACACAGAAAAAAAATGTATTTAATTCAAATAATGGGTTACTTGACTGTTGTCAAATAAATATTTACTTGGACCAAATAAATTTTGTTTGAATTAAATAAACTGTGTTTAAACCAATAATTTCTGTATTTGAAACAAATACCATTTAATTGAGTCAAATAATAATCATTTAATAGAAATAAATATTTATTTAATAATAAATTATAATAATAATGATAATATTAAATATTCTAGTCCCCAACAAAAATTTGCCCTTTACTAAAATTTATTATTATATTTATTTATTGAACAAAAACTTTCTCTCTAAATCTGAATTAGTAAAAAAGTTTACTAATTTGAATTAGTGATTCACTTTTTGCCTTTCAATTAGTAAAATTTTACTAATTATTAGTAACTTTTACTAACAATTAGTAAAATTTAACTAATTCTAAAGCAAAAAGTGAGTCACTAATTTAAATTAGTAAACATTTTTACTAATTCAGATTTAGAGAGTTAATTACTACTTTAATTATTGTGATATTTATTTGATAACAGTGAAGTAATTTATTATTTGAATCAAATAAATTTTCCTTCAATGTAGAAAATAACAAAATTACAAGAATTCCTAACGTTGACTGACTTATACTACTGAAATATTTTTTTACTACTGAGACAAAAAATTACTAATTTAAAAATATTAAACAAATAAAAACAATAAATAATAATGATATTAATAAAATAAATAAATAATATTTTGATATTGTTAAATTAAAAATCTTACAAGAATTTGAAAATTTTTATATTTTATCTAACTAAATATTTCTTTTGCTTTTGATAAAAAAAACGATTCTGTCTGACCTAAAGTGTCTTTTACTACTGAAATAGTTTTTTATACTATCGAGACAAAAAATTCAAAACTTTTAAACTGTTTTTTTATATTGGTACAAATATTACGAGAATTTAGAACATTTCGTCTGAGTGCAACTCGCTTTTACTACTAATATCAAAATCACAAGAATTTTGTATTTTTACATAGAAAAAAAAATTCCCCTGGAACAGTGAAATATTTCACTAAAATAGCAAAAGTTTTAATTAAAATTTTCACTATTCTAATGAAACTTTTCACTATTGCAGATAAAATTTTTTTCGTTGTAGTCTGAGAAAAAAATTATTTTTATTAGTTCCACTAATATTGTAAGTTTAGAAAAATTTTAACTTATTCTGTCTGACTGAAATTGACTTCACCTACTGCAAAAATAAAAACAAAACTTTAGATAGGTTCCAAATAAAAGTAATCTAAGGATTAATTTCTAACAGGAAATTTGCCATAAAAATTAATATTCTAAAGTGTTCGTTATAGTTGAATTAAATTTATTTCAAAATCGAGAAGAAAATTTCTTCTGAATGAAATTATAATTTTTACAGTCGCGCAATAATAATAAAAAATTTTGTACATTTTATTATTATAATACATTTACGAAATCTCTTCTGATGCGCATTAACATTGTGAGTTACGATTATTTTTTCCGTAGTGAATCCCCCAAGTATACACAACTACTTTGCAAATCCTTTTATGGTATTCAAGGATCGGTATACGGATATCGAAGCAAGAGGGATGATGCTAAAGAAAAAGAATAGGGGGGGGAGGGGAGGTAAAGGCAACGAAAAAGGAAAACTGTGATGTAGATGCAGTTAACCCTGGACCACGGTAGATCTGTTTAACTACCTCGTAAGTTTTTCGAGTTGCCAAGCTTACTTTCAAGCAACAACAACATTGCCATGTAAAATAGTCTCTTTCTCAAGGCAAAACGAAGCTAAACCAGACAGAGAAAAAAAAAGATACACTCTCTCTCTCTCTTTTTCTCTCGAGGGATGGTGGTGGTATATTTTTTATCTTAATGGCATTACACAGTTTTACGCTCAAAGAATTTAATGGAGTTACCACCCCGTGCGAGTTCCTGCTACTAGCAGAATAACTTGTGCTATACTAAATCTCGAGAAGAGAGATTGCCTCTACTTTAAAAAATCGATGTAAACTATATTCCCGCCAAGTTGCAAAGAGTTAGACAAGATTCGTGTTCTACTTTTTCAGAAAATGCCCACGGAACCAGCAATTCCCAAGGTTTCAAAAGCTTGTGAAACATTTAGATTGCATGGATAAAGCAGTTTAAAGGTATCATGATTTCTCAAAAAGAAATATAAATAACGCCCAGTAAAAAAATTCCCCAGTAAAGTAGCCCCAGAAATTTTCAAATGAAATTCTATTTCAAAATTCTGTAGAATTTCCATAGAAATTCCATCAAGTTTCCATAAAATTGCCATCGAATTTTATAAAAAAAAAATTGATGGAAAGCCCATTGGAAATTTTATTAAATTTCCTTGGAAAATACACGAAACAATATGACTGTTTATTGATGGAAAAAAAAATTAAACACCCCAAAAAAAATCAATTTTAATTTTGAAAAAAATCAAAATAATTTTTAACTACCGCAATACACGGTGCGCCAGAAGGTGATTTAAATAAAAATGAATTGGCACTTAAAAATTCTTTTTGATTATGTTTCTTAGATGAATAAAAAACATTTCTCAATAGTTTTTAAAATCAGTTTACGTGCCCGATTTAAAAAAAAATTAGTTTTTATATAAAAAAAACGATTCTTATCTTATATAAATTTCGTAAATCCGAAAGATTATGCGAATCCATACAAAAACACGATTGCAAAACGAAAAGTAATATAATGACAGGTTCATTACCTCCTGCCGCCGTCAGATGGCAGCAGCATGCAGGGCGCACAAATTCGCAGCTGTTATTAGATTACTTTTCTACTTTTTGTTTTGCAACCATGTTTTTCGATGGATTCGTACCGTCTTTTGAATTTAGGAAATTTATAATTATATAATTTATAAAATTTATATAATCAATACTATTTCACGTTGAGTGCGATAATTAAAACTCTCTTCTTGCTAAAGAATTTCAGATACCGTTCGACACTCTTAATGCATAAATATAAAAACGAAACAAAAAAATAACTTCAATGTTAATAAATTTATATGAACCCAAATCTAAAACATCTATTATCTTTACGCATATAAGTATACATTAAATTAATTCTGGTTCCTCATAAAACACTATTTTTATATATTTAAAACTCAATTTTTTTTAATTTTTGCACGTAAGTTGATTTTAAAACCTATTGAAAAATGGTTTTTATTTATTTAAGAACCATAATCAAAAAGAATTTTTAAGTGCCAACTCATTTTTATTTAAACCTCCTTCTGGCGCACCATGAATAACATTAAAAAAAATAAAAATAACCATTTTTTACACTCTCCTGAAAAAGAATACAATTAAATAATAAATGAAAAAATTATTACTCACCACGGTGATTCAACTGAAAATAATGGGTTTATTATAGGCAAATATACAAAAAAAAATACCAAAAAAAGAAATATAAAATTCTAACAAAACAAAATAACCACGATTTCCCTACCTAAAGCTGTATTTAAAAACGAAAAGAAAAATCTACTCCTGAACTGTAAAAACAAATTAAAAAATGACTCATCGGTCGGCGAATCCCACGTTGCAAATTTTCTTCTTGGACCACTCCACGGAGATCCCTCCCTTATTGCACATCTGCAGGAGACCGGGAGTTATGCTACCAGCCACAAAAAAATATTTAAAAAAAAAAAATTATTTTCGAATAATTGGTAGCATGCAGGGGCCGCTTTTCTTCTTCCACATCCTTCCTGTCGTTCAGTTTATTACATGGGAATAAACTGAAAAAATAAAAATTAAATAAAATTATACATACATTTGCTAAATTATTTAAGATTTCCGTCAATTACTCTCTAAATCTGAATTAGTAAAAATTTTAACTAATTTGATTTAGTGACTCATTTCCTGTTTTAGAATTTGTAAAATTTAACTAATTAATTAGTAAAAAGAAAAAATTCTACTATAGAATTAGTAAAATTTAACTAATTAATTAGTAAAAGAAAAAATTTACTATCGAATTTGTAAAATTTAACTAGTTCAAAAGCAAAAAGTGAATCACTTATTCAAATTAGTAAAAATTTTTATTAATTCAGATTTAAAAAGTAAGATAGGTTTCGATTCTTTATTTTTGAAGAAAAAATTCAGAAGAAAAAAAAACTTACCACTACAGTTTTTTTAAGCGTGTCGGAGATACGATGACAGCATACTCTCTCCTCCAAACAGATGAATTTTTCTGCTACTCGACCACTTGACTATAAATTTTTTATAAAAAAAAATTTTATTATTAATTTATTATGTTCATTATATTTTAACGGTACCTGGACATATTATATTGTTGAGTATATTTTTAGCAACGGTTATTAATTCCACTCAAAGCAATAATGTCAAAAATAAATTAGTTGTAGTCATTAATATCATAATTTTAGAACAGAAAATATTTACTTAGTTTGAATTAGTAACAATTTTATCTAATTTGAATTAGTGACTCACTTTTTGCTTTTGAATTAGTTAAAATTTACAAATTCGAAAAGTAATAGTAAAAAAAATTTGTCCTTAATAAATATGAGTTAAATTTTACTAATTCAAACTAATTACTAGTATAAAAAAATTTATTTACCATCGAATTAGGAAAATTTAACTAAAAAGCAAAAAGTGAGTCGCTAATTCAAATTAGTGAAAATTTTTACTAATGCACATTTAGAGAACAGTTAAAAAAAATTAACATACATTGAACTGCGCTCAGCAATACAAGTTCTCCTCCAGGAGCAGCTCCGCAACAAACACCTTCCCCCTCGAATTGAAGCTGCAAAAAGAAAAAAAAACACATTTTATAAAAAATACACAAAATATAAATCACAAAAAAAAGAAAAAATTACTATCGAAATTTTTTCTCTAAAAAAACCTTTTACTTTCAATTTATAAAATTAAGATTTCTTTAGCTAAAAATTTTTATTTAATTCAAAAAATGAAATTATTCGAAAATTAATTTAATTAAGAGAATTATTTGACGAGGGAAAAAATGTCAAGAAACTTTTTATTTAATACAAAAATATATTGTGTAGTTATTTGAAAAATTAATAAATTAAAACTCAATCATATTAAAACATAAATTGCATCGTGAAAAGTGTATTAAATATATCTACACATTTGAGTTAATAAAACGCAGTAGAATTATCAATTTTGTGTATTTAACTTTTAATATATCAGAGGATACTCGATAAATTGGCTATTGGCTTTCAAAATTCGTCTCCTCTATAGGTTTATTATTCGCGTTTTAATATCAAAAATATTCTTGGGGGGTATTTAAAATGGTCAATTATTCCATATATAATAAAACTCGTTCACTTTGAGTATTGAATTCTCTCTCTCTATTTTGCGAATCATATTACTAACGCATGAAATCAAGTCAATGAATTAAATTTCAAAGGGAAATATTTATAATATAAATTTTTAAATTCCAAGATTCATTATAGAACAATATAAAATCGAATTTCCATTTTCTCGCTTTTTATTCGACTATAGAAATGGCAAGTATTTTCTTTTTTTCTTTTCTTTTTTATTTCAAATGCTTACTACTATTTCGCGGGACAAAATGTCATGTAAAGTGGAAAAAGGTTCATGAGGTTAACAAGTGAATGTATTTCACGCTTCTGCTTCTTTTCGAATTAGCATATAAAGTGAGCAGTCTGTCTTGTTTACTTCTAGGCATGTTTCTCTGTCAGCTTCTCCTTTTATTCTTTCTCTTTTTATCCACACCTAAGTCATTCATTCAACTCTTTTAGTAAATTGTAACCTCAACAATCAGAGTCTGAAAAATTCGTGATTTGAATCTGTAATTCGTCATTTCTTTTGAAAAATTTTTTTTTTAATTTATTATTTATTTATTATCAATTTAACGTTTAATTTATATAATTGTTCAATTTAAATATTTTTGAACGTAACCAGTTGGTTTGAACAACAAAAGACCATTTGATTTATCAAAACTATTTTTTGTTGTGTTACCAAAATTGTTTTTTTTTGTAGTAACCAAAATTTTTGATTGGAACCAATTCGACAACATTATCCAAGATTTTCTTATTGTTTTCAGATATGCAATAAACCAAAAAAAAAATTTTAAACGATCAAACTAAAAATAAATAAATTTGTTTATAAAAAATTTATATTTTTTTAAATAAAAATTTTCTTGACAACACTTGTTAAAAATCAAAAAACAACCTTTAGTTTCTTAAAAAAGTTTTTCAAAACTTCATTTTGATGCAAATATATATGTTGTTATATCAGATTTTAAATAAATATTAATTTTAACTAATCTGAACTTATAATTGTTCCCCATTCTAATTTCCTCAATTTAATTTAGTTAAATTAACTAAGTTGGGAAGAGGTTTATTAAATGAATGATTTAATATAATACAAAAATTATTTATTTTAAAAAATGTAAAATGTTCTTAACAATTTGTACAATCAAATAAATCCTTGTTTGAATATTTGGTATGGTTACCTTTAAGATGTTTATATTGAGGAGTCTTCAATTGGCACCTGTTGTATTGACCTCCTAAGATTGGATCTTCTTGCTCGTTAAGATTTTTATTACCGCACGTAACCACTGAGAAATATGATAATTTTGGAAACTGTATCTAACACTTGCTATGACGAACTTCGTGTGTATAATTTGGGACTGCCTTTGAAGTGAAAGGTCTCCCTTTATATAGATATATTTTCCAATGTATTCTTCGCGGCGGTACCAGCTCGCCTCTTTGGGTTAGATTCAAGATCGGTACCTCACAGACGTGAAAAGTGTTTATTGCTTTTCTTCTATGTGTTGGTGACTCCGTATGTTGATTTCCTTATTTTAATAATACAAAATGTCAAGAACACTACATCTTAAAGAAATATTATAATTACGTATACTTTTTTTCTCAGAACTTTGATTTTATATAATAAAATATTAATTAGTTAGTTGACCAATTTTAATTAATATTTAATTTGTGTTGGGTTACTAAAAATTTCAGACACTTTTCCCTAATTATACCAAAAAAGTATTACCTGAAGCAGAGATTTCATTATTGCAGTGAAACTTATCTCTGTTACAGTTAAAGCTTTCTTTTCGTGTACAAGAAATTACAAAACTGCCAGTACTGGTGCCAACTCTGGTAGCCAATACTGGTAAAATGTTATCATATCCCAAAGTTACGCCAATTCTGGATGCCAGTACTGCGCCATTACTTGTCAGTACTGCGCTAGTAGTAAATTTTTGATTAGGTGTGCAAATAATTTTGTTGCAAACACAATTTTTTTTTCACCAGCGTAATATGAGAAACTTGAAAGAACTTTTATCTAAACGGCAGCATACCGCAAATTTTGAACCTACCCTAATAGAACAACTGTGTAATGAATATGAAACAGTCATTTGCACGGTAATTCGGAATCACTTAAGCCACACCGAGTTTAGGAGAGATTGAGAGAAAGAGAGAGATGAAGGTGGGGGGTGGATTTGAAGATGTATTGAAATGCATTGCCTGTAGCAATGCACAACGGTCGAACCGGATGAATAGGTTAGCCTGTTGGTTGGATATAGTTAAGGGAGGGTAATTCCTATGCCGCAGCACCTATCGCAAAATCGGTTGAAATGGAAACAGGAGAGGACGAACTGATAAGATCTACACTGCATTCGCACGTTTGTCGGCTTTATTGGTCAGTTGTGGCCTTCTGATAACGCAAGATTGCATTACAACCATAAACTCACATGGCAATATCGGTCGTTAGCGTAGAGCTATAGCGGAAATACAACCGGACCGAAAAGGAAACGAAGGATATTCAAAATGGTATAAGAGAATTGGCGAATGCCCCCGCCCCACTTGTTTCCCTCTCTCTCTCTCTCTCTCTCTCTCTCTCTCTCTCTCTCTCTCTCTCTCTCTCTCTCTCTCTCTCTCTCTCTCTCTCTCTCTCTCTCTCTCTCTCTCTCTCTCTCTCTCTCTCTCTCTCTCTCTCTCTCTCTCTCTCTCTTTCTCTTTCGGTACGTTAAGCGATTTCATTTTACAACTATGAAACCTTTTGCATTTCACAAAATAATGCCGTACAAAACTTGCTTTGTATATACGACAAGCATTCTCTATCATAAAATACAAAAATTTTCAGTAGTTGAATTTTTTAATCTTTCAAAAAATATTATTTGAAATAATCAACTTATTGCAGTTGTTATTTTTTCGTAGTCTTTAAATGTTAGTCCAAAACAAAAATGTTGAACTAAAAAATTTTTCAGTATTATTTTTGATAGATTTCTCGTAGTCATTTTTTTTGCATTTTAGTTTGAATCCAAAATATCCTTTGGTTCCTAAGTACCATTCCAATGGGATCTCATTTTTTTCTTGCAATTAATATGAAATGGTTTTATTATATATATATAGATAGACGTAGGCTCTTTCGTATTTATCTACCTCTGTTTACATTTTTTTTTAACTTCAGAGATTTGCAAAAAAGAAAAAAAAAAGACTTGATGTAAGTTTTTCTCTTCTAGCTTCTCCTTCGTTAGTCAAGTTGGTTCGCAGTCTCTTCAGGGAAGTAACAGCTGTGGCTTTGAGGCCTTACAATTAAACAAGATATCAGTACCTTAGGGCCATTCCTTTCAGATTTTTCTTTCATCCAAACGCGCGCGCGGACTCTTCAGCTCTCTTGGGCTCTGAGATGCAGACTTTTTTACGAAGCTGTCTTCTTAACAACTGTCTTCTTTCTGTTTCTCAAAAAAAAAAAAAAAAAAAAATTTTCCACTTCCTTTTTTCGGGTAGAAGGTACTTTTACGTTAATAGAACCAAGAGCTGCGAGATCCATATATATTTAGGCAGATAATGTGTTTGAAACAATATTAATATTCAATTGACGCAATATTTATTTAATAAAATAATTATAAATTATAATCAAATATTCATAATTATAAATTATTTAAATTAAATGTAAATTAATTTATAATTATAAATATTTATTTGATAATAGTCAAGTAACCGATTATTAGAAAGAATTACATTTTTATATTTTATAAATTGATAATTATTTTTAATTAAACACTGTTGATATTAATCGCATTGAGATTATAATTTGACTTTAACATAAGTAATGAAACTAAGACAAGAAATTTACGTTGTACTTAAAATTTTCCTTTCGATATTCATCAGTCGGGCTGAATGTAGTTAGTACCTACGGGTCGTAATAACGTAATTAAACAGGTTATTCCATTTTGCAATTACGATGTAATCTACTACGATTTAATACTCGGTTAGTTTGTCAGCAAACCTCCTTATATACTTGAGATTTGAGCGCGCTAGTCACACATAATCATCTAAAACACAAATGAGCTAACAATTTCACATATATAACTAAATTAATTCTCAGTACGATCAATCATTTTCAGTTATAATTTACAAACTTTTCAATCAATTTTAATCAATTACTTTTATGCAAAACAAAAATAAATATATATAGTCTCAATTTTATAGAGACCATCAATTTTTTCGCAATTAATTATTTAATAATTTAATTAAGTTTTTCTACTGATAATAAATTCATGAAAATTTAATTATATTCTAGTCAGACTACAATTGTCTTTTACTACTGGATTGGAGAAATTAAATAAATAATAAAAAATAATAATAAAAAATTGAAAAAATCAAAAAATTCTTAAAAAATTGCAAAATAACCCTTTTTCGGGTTAAAATTGAAAAAAGATGTTATATAAAAATAGTTTGTAAGATTTTCTAAAAGCATATATGCAAAGTATTTTGATTTATTTGAAAATAATTGAAAATAGATTTT